TAGATACTAAAAAATATTTCTATAATGAAATACAAAGTTTGCGAATTTTAAATATAAAATTTTTATACTTCCTTATCCCTTAGATTCCTATTTCAATTCATAAACTCTTTGTTAGCAGAAATATCTTATGGCGCTGTTTTTCCTTGCCTTTTTTCCCCCTTTATTTTTATTCTTTATTTTCTGAAACAAATGTATAAATATTACAGTCTATATTAATCCCCTCATCCAAAATATTACAAACAGTTGGAACACATAAAGACAATACTACATATTCAACACTGAAATGGTAGGAAATAATATAAGAAGCAGAATACACATTATAAAAACCTAAAAGGAAGTTTTGTCAGGAAAGCAGAAAAATAGGTCACTTCAGCAAGTATCCACACCTTACTGGATAATATTAGAAAATACAAAAACAACATTATTGGCAAAATTAAGATTTCAAATTTCAAGAACCCTGGAATTTTGGACCTAAGCAGAGAGATTAAGTCACACATTCTGTAGTTATACAGGTTTTTCTTTTCTTAGATTAAAAACTTTTGATCTTTTGTGCAAGAGTTGAAAATTTCAGGTGTAAACCTCTGTACCATTTTACTTTTAATGTTGACATTTCTCATCAACTTGATTTTCTATTGAATTAGGTGTTCCTTTAGTGATACTCTGGAACTAAGCCTGTCCATGAGGAGCTCACTGCAAAAGTTTTATATTTACAATGGCCTACAGTCTGTAGAAATACTTGCATCCAAGCACAGTAGTAATTTATTTTTCATTTTGTGCATCTATACATAAACATGTAAAAATCTAAATGCATCAAATGTGCAATACAAATATATTAATTAGGTCAGACACTGGCCAAAAGCAGGTATTTGTGAATGAAAATTCAAACACCTGAATTGCAGAGAATCATCAAAAGTGCTACTAGAACATTCCATCATGAAAATACACCAACAAAGCCTGCAGAGCATATAGCTTTCTTCATTTCAGTATTAAAAACATTATACAAAACGCCATGCGCGTTGGATACAAATATGCTGAAAAGAAAGATTAATATGGCCATCTAGAGGAGAAAAGAATGCTATGAAAACATACAACACAATTTTTCAGGCTTCAGAATATGATGCTTTTAGAGGCATGCAGCCAGAAAAAGGATGTAATAAACAAATTAAAGAATTGATAACAAGCAAACCTTAAAACAATACGTTCAGACATTTTGGTGGTCTGAATGATGCAAACATATTAATATTAAAAACGTTTTTAGCAAGACAAGCAAAACATACAGGGTGTATTAATAAAGACAAGATTATGTTCTTGTCTCTTTGTTGAATTTTGTGAAAGCAGAGTTAAGTATACACACATCTAAACAAATGAATTTTAAAAGGCAGAAGTTCAGAGTAAACAGTTATCAGTAAAACTGTTTATTGGCTCCTTTAAAAACACACAGCTCACTACTGCAAAATAGAACATGTCAGAGAGATTAGCTGCTGAAGAGAAAATTCGGCAGAAAAATACAAAATTTTCTGAAAACTAAGGATCATTTCCATTACTCATACTACTCTATCTTTGATGGAATTCATAGAGTCATGGAATCATGGAATGGTTTGTGTTGGAAGGGACCTTACAGACTACCTCATTCCAACCTCTCTGCCCTGGACAGGGACACCTTCCACTAGACCCGGTTGCTCAGAAATCCATCCAAGCTGGCCTGGATCACTGCTAGATGTGCAGCATCCACAGCTTCTCTGGGTAATCTGTTCCAGTGTCTTGCTACCCTCACAGAAAATAATTTTTTCCTAATATCTAATCTAAATCTACTATCTTTCAGCAGATCTTCCAGATCTCCTAAAAACCACTCCCGCTTGTCCTTATTCTTAATGATCAGGGGCTGCTTTACTGGCAACGAGCAGGAGGAAAACAGAGGTGAGACAAAAATTAATTCTGTCCTCTCATCACTTCTCTTTAACACTATCAAGTGTTACATGCTCAACATATGGACTGATCAGTGCCTTACAATGGAAGCACAGCCAAAATGTTAAAGACTTAGAAGTAGAAATGATAAAGCACATATGAGAAAAAAGAAGCACACAAAGTCAAATGCACTGACAATTTTTTCTCATATTAAACAAAGTGCATAGGAACACACTGCTTGTTCCACACACAAAAGAGTCAATAAATGGTTCAATCATCTGTCTTTACAATTCTTACAAAAATAATTCAATACCCCTAAAAGCCAAGTATTTAATAAAAATACTCAGTATTCCTGTGGCATTAGGTCTTCTACAGATTTTTTTCCAAGTTTAAGGAACAGTAAAGCTTTGCATTTTTAAAAATCACACTGAAACATCTGGAATGCTGATGCTTCCCCCTTGGAATCAGATTTTTAATGTCTTCTGTTAAGTGAACCGCTTCTCTGAACACAAATGAACAGCTTGGTAGTAATAATCTCTCCTTTATTTCTGATTGCAGGCCTTCATGAAGTTTTCACCTTTTTTTATCAAAGTTCTATGTTGGGCAGCTTTCCCCCTGTAATGATCATCACATAAGGCATACGCTGTCTCTTCCTCTATTCTAAAACATTTTTATCATTGTGCAAATATTCTTTGAAGTAATTTAGGAAGAACATAAAAAGTACTAACACTAATTATTCCAGCATGCCACCTTCAGGTCACTGAGAAGTGAAAAATGTTAGGTTGTTAATCTGCTACCACATCCAAAACTTTTTTTTCATAGTATTGAACATAATTTTGTTGAGAATAATGGATTAATAAAATGAGACAAACTCCTCAGTCTAATTTGCAAGCATTTTGCCGAACATACGGTGTAGAATGATTGCAGGCTGTCAAAAAAATAACACTGTTTATTCTCCATTCCTTGTAAAATGTGGGAAGAGAATGCTCTCATAAGTAGCAGCAAAAGCAAAATACTGACATTATTAAAGTTTTGTGCAAGTAGAAGTATATGGTTAAAAAAGTCTAAGTTTTTAAGTTAGAATGTTGGGATAGCTTTTGTTTTAGAAGGTTTTTTTTGCTTCCAAACCCTGAACGCTTTTTCATTACAATAAATTTTAAAATGGCATTTCTATTCAGCCTGCTTCCAGAATGGAGAGAACATTGAAAAAGAATAGCACCTGGTGACAGATATATTTAGCAACAGAAGAATAACAAAAAAAGAGGAGGGGGTAACAACTGTAACTTTCTGGATGCAATATTTGGACTTGCCAAAAAGGTTCTTTTGTCTTAGGTTGTAATCCTGATACAGATTTCCAGACTGGAAATTATCACTCCCCAGGATAAAAATCAGTAAATATAAATTCTGATGACTTAAAAGGATGATAAAGAACACAATCATTAAAAAAAAAAATTGGATACAAGCTAGCACAATGTCTTTGAAGCTTAAATCCTATAGGGCCAAAGTGAAAGGCTCAGATGAACTCAGGACTTTTCACTGAGAAGATGAACTAGATTGGATTAAAAAATCAGAGCAATTACAAAATTGAAAGAGGGATGTTGTATAACTACGGCTATTTTAACAACTAGCCTCAGTAGTCTGCAGAGAGAGAAATACCTTATTCTAGATATCTGAAATGAGTCTGCCTGTGTAATTCTCTTATAATTCATATCTGGTATTATTTGCTAATAATTTTTCCATCTCCTGTTAATATACATCATCATTCTTTCCCAACAGTGACAGAAGTCATAAAAAAGCCTTTCATATTCCCTCCACCAACACCGTTGAGAGATCTCAGTAGATATCAAAACCAAACATACTTTTAATATCCCTATTCCTTCTCCATCACAGTGTTCAAAAATCAGTTTTTACCACCTGACCTCACCTCTGCAACTCCTTCACTGTTTGTTGGAACTCAGACTACCTGCCTTCCTGTAATTTAACAGCAAAGGAAAGAAATGAATTTTCTCATGATCAAAAGAGAATCCTTTTACTCTGCAACTTACTTGAAATATGGTTTTCATGTCCTTCAAGTTTTAGCTTAGAATCATAAATGACCGTATACTAATTTCAAATTTCAACAGCAAACAGACTTTTATATAATTTAATTATATCAAATTGTAAATTTGATAATATCAAATTGTAGAAATCGTAAATTTTTTCAAGCCCTTCTGGACGGTATAGAACATTTAAGGTGAAATATCTTGTAATTACATATACCCACTTTTTATTAGCAAACTTCAAACACCAAAAAAAGTTTGCATTTTAACATACTAAAAAAAGACCAAAAATACCTTACTATAATATAGTACCTGTATCAGAATGTGACTTTTCCCTAGCTCCAGGAAAAACTCACTTTTCATGCTTGAAACTGGCTATGGACACAGTTCTCACACAACTACTTTCAAATACAAAAAGGGATATTGACAAAATATTGACAGCAAAATTCTCAGCCTCTACATCAAGCTGTCACCCCAACTGAAAATCAAGAAATATAGAGCATGTAAGAAAACATCCACTGTTTAATTCCAACTTTTACCACCATGGAAAAATACATTAACCTAATCTTTATAGTAATTTCTTTGTGTCATTTCAGGAGAAGAAAAGGTACAGAACATTCCAGCAATGCACACTGCAATGACCATATGCACTGTAGCCAATAACCAATTCCATTTACTTTGTTGTTAGAACAGCTTATCAATACAGAAATAACATATCTTCTTTGTATTTATAATACCACAAATTCAACAAGAGTTGCCATGTTTCCTTCCTACATAAAAACAGCTTAAATTGCCCCAAAAATGAAATGAATAATGATAAAATTAAATGAAACTTAATATAACAAGATATTGTATCATTTGCAGTATCTCTGGAAGAATGTATACAAGTGTGTGCTTTTCTTATTTTTTTTGAGCATGCACTAATAGAAAAGGTGTTCGGATATTTCTTGCAGACACTGACTATTTGCTAGCCAGGCTGCTCTCATCTTGGACTTACTTATCCAGAACACAATTCTGAAATTTGGAATAAAAGGAAGGCTTTTAAATAGCTCTTACCTTCATCTATTGAGGCTTCACTACTGTATCCATCATATTCTGCAGACAGGGGACTATATTTTTGTCTGGTTTCCCATATATAGTTTTTTTGCTGTCTGCCATCCACCACTGGCAGCCTGGAACTCTGGGTTCTAGACAAGGCCTCATGATATTTACCCAGTGCTTCATCTTCACTCTCAGATGATGAACCATGCTGGTCTTTACTCATATAAGAATTGTCTGTTTGAATAAAATAGAGCAAATCGACTACAGCTCAAAATAGAATACAAGAAAATAACCATAAGAGGTTATAATTGAAGATATTTAAGCCATTTCAATTAAAATTTCTGTAATATTTTAAAAATACCTTGTTGTAATTACAAGCATTGTGATTTTGTAATTGCTGAGAGCTGTTCTCATTTTCTAGAAGACCTGAAAGATCATTAAGCCCCAAAAAACCACACTAGCACTTATTCAACAAAAACCAGATCAATTCATGTAAGGTGGCACATGGACATTCTTGAAACCCTTCATAAAGTAGGAAAATGCTTAAAATAATTTATGTCAAGGAAATCCAACAGTGCTGCAATATTACATTTGGATACCTTACAAATCAAGCAAGCAGCTCTTGATCCTAGCTGATTCCCAGCTGATCTTTGCTGTGAGCATATAGCATAGCATAGAAATGAAACTGATTTACAAAAAGAAGCCTACAACAAAATAATCTTTAGGATAGTTATGCCAGTAGTGCTTAAACTCACAATAACAAATGGGAAAATGCTAGTGAAAGATGTTTGCACGCACAATTTTATTTAACTTACAATAAACAGCTCCTTGTTCAATAACTGAAATTAATGCAGATTTTTACTGCAGACATCTGGCAACAGCAAAAATTACATGGGAAAAAAATCTATCTATTTAATTCTTTTATAGCAGTTCTGCAGTGCCTACTCCTGTGGCCAACGTTTTCCAACTACATCTCAAGCATGACTTCCTCCCACAAATCAAAGATTTGCTGTATTTTTATTTCTGTAAAGGGAAGATTTCCTCCTCCCTTCTTCCAAAGTTCAATTGGATTCTACCCACATTTACCATGCCTTGCAGAGGTTCTGTAGATCTCAGACTCTAACAGGCATTAAGAGCTCATGTGAGCTCAGAAGTCAGCATTACCTCCACTGTGAGAGCAAACCTATGGTATATGATTTGCCAGTGCATTTCCATTAGCAGCAGAGCTTTGAGGTGCCCATAATGCTGTTTCTCAGCTCCTGAATCTGAGGGAATGTTGTCTAACATGCTACCCAGCCACACTCAACTGCTTCTCCCCTCCCTGCTTTTATGGCCTCAGCTCCAGATCTGTGTTTCCACTCCCATTAGTGTCTGTCTTCATGCCCAGTCAATCTCACTCATCTGGCTGAGTATTCCTGCTGAAAGACAGATTCAGCTTATTCAAAAGCTAGCCAGTTAAAATTAAATTAACTCGATGTATGCCAGCCATCTAGATCTCTTTTACAGTCAAGTGTTTGCCTCTTAGTACTATAGAGGTCTGTCTTTCCTACTTTTACGAATCACTTCCCATAGAGGTCTTTTTTCTCCCTGGTACTCATACAGAAAAACCTCAGCTGCAAGTTTAGGTAAGAAATCTTTTGGAAAGCTACATTTATACAAGTAGAATCCTATGCCAAGTTCCTGTCTCCCAGCCGCACACTCCAAGTTCTTGCTCCAAGCACCCACGTTTGGTTTCTTACGGTGATTTCCTCTATTCTCTTTGACTGTTCAATCCCAATGTCTTTACTTGCACCTAACCAACTACTCATGTAACCTTGGTCTTTGACTTTAGTCTCTCCACCTTCATATGGAGTTATCAGTTCTCTCCATAGCTCTCACCCTTCCTAGTTTAAATCCCAATCTACCATGTGCATCAGGTCCTATTTGTTCAGGAAGTTTCTGTCCTCACATAGAATATGTTTATTCTCAATTCTTCTGTTCAAACTCCCAGAGTCCATCAGTAACCATAAGCATCAAAGGCAGGGTAAGACCTGCTCTGCTCTTCAATCCCTACAATGAAGCATATGAGTGCAAATGGGATGGTCAGTGAATTTAACAAGCAAAGTATAAGAAGTGTTTACCATGTCTTTTCAAAAAGCAAACTTTCCAAAAATTTACAACTTTGTCAGACTTAGGTGTTTTTCATAGAAGAACATGGGCATCTCTGACATGGGAGAAGTGCTCTCCCACATCTCAAGCACATATTCCAATACACAAAGGTGCCACAGCATCTTTGTAAACCTGAGGTGAAATCTACTTTTTTTTTTTTTGCAGAAATACCCAGCATGTTTTTTTCCCATAACCTAGTTTTTGGAAACAGTTAAAGATTTTAAACTATAACTTAGGAAAAAACAAAAAACAATAGGATCTCGGACAGAAAGAATGCCTAATTTCCTCAAAATTCTTTCAAATTTGGCACATAATTTAGGAAATTCATAATAAGATCTTGCAATGGAAATTGTCAGAAAACCTTATCTGGATGTGGGGCTACCAGCTCTACACACAATGTGTACAACTTATTTTACTAATTATAGGAAAAAAGGTGCCTTAAAGGACCTCTAAGGAGAAACTAGATCTTTCAACTCTAGACTATTAATTCAAGTCTAGCAGATATGGTTCTTCCCATTTATGGATGGCTATAAAGCAAGTTCAATTTCAGTGATCATTTACTGAAAATATCACACCAAGTAGGATATATTCTGGCTAACATGTTCACTGCAAGAGGCTGCCCAGAAAAAGGAATCTCTAAGTGTTTTGCTGTAACACAAAGTAAAATTTTGTATTTCATATAGCCCTCCAGGGGTTGAAACCTGCCACATTGAAACTTCTACAGATTCCCACAGCTATAATTAAAGCAGAGCATACCAGGCCTAAAATACAGTGCCAGACATCAGTATTAGGTGCCTCCTTTAACACTACAATAAATGTATTCACAAATATGAAATCAGGTTCATTAATCAGCCTGCATAAAGAATGGAACAGTATAAAACACGGCAGCAACATGTTTGAAAGAAGAGTTGAAAGTTATGTCTCTAATAATACACTGATTTTTCTAAGCATCCAGAAGTTCTCAGTGATAGCAGGTTTTTATTTTTTCTCCAGGTCCTATCATAAAAGAATGAGAATGTATACCATTATTAGAAGTCATGAAGCAAGACGTCTTCAGAGGACTTAAAAACCTCCTCAAAGTTTAAACATAAGCTATTCATGCAAATATTTTTTTTTTAATTACAAAGCAGATAAGTTTCAGTTTCTTGGGAAAAAGTAGCTTCCTGTACATTAAGAAAAAAAAAAAACAAACAAAAAACTGAGTTTAATGCCTTTGCTTGCCACTTCTCATTTTTATTTGGCTGACAAAGGTCATGAGCAATCATTAATCTATTGAAAGCTACTAATTTGCTTATTATGGACCCCAAATGCCATTTTTGAGAGAATATACTTTACGAATCTATTGTTATGTAACGAAATAGATAAGATCAGAGTTCATCATACAAACATGGAAAACACTCCTAATTAAAACTTAAAAAAACCAAACAAACAAAACCAAACCAAAACTCAACAAAGCGGATAACTGAAATTTTCTGATAAGGAAAACAGACACAACTGAAGGAAAAAAATGGGTTTCTATTAGGAAATCATTCATTTCTTTACAGAATCAGCACCTGGAAACATGGAAAAGTATGTGTTGCTTTCTAAAACTTTACTATGCAACTTGCAAAAGTATGTAAAATTGCAAGGTTTTACTTCTTCCTTACAAACTGCTATTGCAATTCCCTTATCACACTAAGATTGGATGTTGAAGACGGCACAAAAAGTATCCATAACAACAACACACAGGTTTTCTTTTAAGACTACAACTTTAAGACAAGGCTCATTCACTTCTTTCTATACTTAAAATCACTTAATTGCCATTTCTTATTGAGTTTCTCATTTCTCATTGTGTCTTGAAATCATTATCTCACATATCCCAGAAATATTCTGAAGATCGACTGTAATGTAAATGCAAAAGAAGTTATTCCTTTTACTGTCATAGCACATTTTATGCAATGCTTTTAAAAGAAACGAAATAAAAAATAACTTTCACAGAACAAGTATTAACTTCCAGTATTAATTCATAGTTTTCAGCAGAAACCACACAAGGCAGAGAAGGCAAGAAAAACTGTATAAAGAAAGAGTAAAGTTAGAACATAGAAAAGGCATTTATTAATCAGTTCCTTTAAGTAATACTGTGGAAAGTAAATAACTTCCAAGAAATATCAACATAATTAGAAAATGAAGCACTGAAACAAACCTGGCCCTTTCACTGACAGGAAACACTATTACTAAATGTGTAAATTAGCTGAAAAAAGCAGGAAATATCATAAGTTTCAGGAAAGGCTGAAGAATGCAGTTTGCTGACAGACTCCTCACCTTTTCCTGCTGTCTTCTTATTACATAGCTCTCTTTCTAATTTCTTTGAGTTTTTCCTTTTGCCCTCATTTGCAATTGTAGTTGACACATTGCCTTCATCCTTTGACATGGGTTTTCTTTTTCTGTCAAAGAAGGCTTCAGATTTCTTTTCTTTGATTTCATTAAGGCAACTGGGATGGTCATTGTGCATCTTCTTCAAGCTGGAATCTGTTAATTTCTCCTTCTGTACTTCAACAAGCTTTGTTTCTACGTCTTGGGGAACATTCATACTGTGCACTTTATCAGAATCTTTAAAATCAGCTCCAGGTGACTGTGGTTTGATTTTTTTAGGCTCACGATTCTTAGAATTATCTGATACTGCATATAAACAATTATCTTGCTCCTCTATAGATTGCTGCACTGTAAGTTTTTTACTTTTCAGGTTACTATCCTTCAAGAACTTATCATTTACAAAACACTCATTTCCCCCTACTACTTCCCTTTTAAAAGGTCCTCCTACAGTCTTCGAATCCTGAGGTTCTTCTGTATCACTGAGAGGATTATTATGATCTGTGCCTCTTAACTGGCACTGGTTTTTGTTCAAGACATGGTCAGATAGTCCAACTTGACTTGTACCACTTTTTACAAAATCTAACGAATTAGAATTATGAGTCTCTTTATGTTCTGCAGCACCTCTCTTTGTTTTCATATTAATTTCCTGAGAATGAGTTAGTAATGAGGTTGTGTGCTCCTCTCTGCCTTCCACAGGTTTCTCACTCTGCGTTTTGGAGCTCTCATCCTCTGCCCGCAGGCCATTGATCATGCTGGTTACTTGCTCTGTCACTGAGTCAGCTACAGAGTAGCCAACCTCACCAACAACACTGGCCAGGTCATCCACAGCACTGCTGAGCGTGTCCACCAGGGAAGACACCGAGGGAAGGCTCAGATTTTGCTGAAGGTTTCTAAAAAACGCCATTTGTCCAGCCTATCCAGCAACAGATCTTAATACTGACAGGTCCTCTCTTTCACAAACTGACCACCTCTGTTTCTTCAATTTCAGAGCTATTTGCCTTCTCTATTTCAAAAATCAATATATTTACCAGGGGAAGTTGCAGCTTTTCTCTTTTCATTCAATAATCATTGCAAACAATAAGAAAACAGCTAAATAAATATCTTGAAGCCACAATCAACCAGCAAAACCATAGTCTTTCATCAACTGCAGCATCAACTAGCCATAATAAAATTCATTATTTTCAAAAACAAGACAACTGTGTGAGGTGGAATTTTTTTTTATTCTAACCTGTGAAGAAGAAGTTGTGAGACATTTAAATTTTCATCAGTGTCACACTAAAACAGGCTTTTAACATAACACAACACACATCGTAGGGACTTCTTCACCCCAAAATATCTATTGTCTTTTACATAAGGTAAGATACTTTGGAATATCAAGACTTGTTTTGTAGCAAAAAAGAAAGTTAATATGACAGACAATTTCTGGGGAGAACATTTTTTTTGCCTTCTAGAAAATTGAAAATTAAAATTTAGCTCCATCTTTTAGAGAGGTAGAGGGGAAGAAGGCCTCTTTGATTTCAGATTCTGTTTTCTGGTGCCTGGCTCTTTCTCTCTAGTCAACTAACAAAGCCTGTTCAATTTTCACAGTACAAAAGTAGAAAGAGGTTGTTTTACCAACCCTCAGTATCTTTTTCAATGTCTAATTTCTTTCATTACACATGATCCCTAAAGACCTTGTTGTATTAAAAAATATTCAATAGTGTGTTAGTCAGATATATCACTAAAATTATTCTTTAAAATTATTTTCTGGGTGAATAAAAGCAAGACCTTCTCCAAAAGTATGGCGAAGAATCTTAACAGGCTGAGTGAAAATCCAATAATCCCATTCATAAATTTACCTAAAAAGATTTAATTATACAAAATTATGGGATGTTTAAAATAATTTCAAGAGTATTCTCAGAGTGCAAGAGAAGTATCTCTCCATAAGTAAATGCAAACTCTTTGGTTAGATAGCTGTTGAATTTCTGTGGTTTGTGGATACAAAGGTTTGCTCCTTTCAAGTACTGCAGTCACAGGAAAAGCCAACATGGTTGTGTTGCTATATCCTTGTAAAAACGTGAACTCTTATAATTAAGTTTAGTACACTGTATGTCAGATACTTACAAAGTTTATCTTGTGAATTCTTTCTTGTAGTGTATCCTGAATCGAGATCTGGGAAACCACTAACATTTTCAATACACATCTTCTTATTAATATATAGGAAAAGTAGCAGCATGAGAATAATGAACACCCCAACTGCAGACAGGAATCCAATTGCTTCCGGAGATACTAAAAGAAACAGAAAGAAATAAATTTTTTAAAACTTTGTAAAGGTTTGCAAAGTTGTAATATTACCAGAATTGATCATTAATAAATACCTCAAAAGATGCAAATATATATGCCAGATATAATTAAAACCCCACCATTTAAATCTGAGTTAACGCTTCATCATCTTTTCAAAGAACAGAAAGCATGTGGTCCTAATCTGAGAGGGACTGACACTGTGAGCAAGAGGTTCTGATGGAGGACTGGACAGTCTCTGCAGAAGAACAGGGAGATTATCAGAAGCTGCCAAAACCAATGATTTCTAAAAGAACACCTGAGACAGCACTGAAAAAGAGCTAAGAGCTCCCCATCTCCCGGAGGTTTGGCTGCCTCTGCTCAGGGACAGCTTTGAGACAGTGCTGTTGAGGAGGGACTGAGCCTTTGCCCTGTCCACCTGGTCATGTTCAGCACCTGGCTCCTCTTCCCTCAGGGACCGGCTGGCTCACCCAGCCCTCTGACAAGCAGGATGCTTTATGAGCAAAAAACAGAGTGAGAAAAACCATGTATGGTCACTTGCATATGAATCAAGAAAGAGCTAATAGAAAGTGAAATAGAGGTAAAGCACACTTAAATCCAGGTGGGGAAATAAAAGGCCAGAGTAGACTGACATGCCTTAGAGAATGTGTAAAATAAAGAATATGTAATTGCTATTTAGCAGATAACTGCAAGGCAGTATTGGGGATCTTTGAAAGGTTTAGCATCTTTGACATCCACCACCATCTAACAACATCAATTACACCATTTAAGACTAAGATTGTCAAGGAGCAGGTTTTAGAAATGTGAAATCTGCAAATGAATGTGGCAAATTGAAGCAATGGTATTTAAATGGCAATTTGTTTATTTGAAAGGAGAGTGGGCAGGGAAAGGGATATAGAAGAGCAGCAAAACCAAGAATCTAGAAATGTGAGAAATAAGTACCAACTTATAAATGCAGTTCAAGACCAAGAGAGGGCAGATCTTTTGAAAGCAGTGCAGATGCCCACAGACTATAATGAAGCTGAGCTGCTTCATTAATAAAGGTTGCCAGGATCTCACAGGGAAGGCCCTTAGGAAACCCAGTGGAGTCTCCACAAGCTCTGAATTCAAAAAACTTGAAGCAAGAAGTTAAAATAGTGACGGGATTACAAATTTATTATGAAGCAGGGTGGGAGGTTAAAGTGAAGGGTTATAAAACTGCAACTCAATAGCATTTGGATGCAATTTATAGGGGAAAAATGTAATAGAACTCTAACTACACACAATTAACAACCATGTAAAGCATTACAGAGCTGTGATTTCTAGTGATATGTAACAGATTAATTAATCTGTTAACTGGTTCATTACTAATGTGCTGATAATTAAGAAACATTATGTCTCAAACCTGCATCCTAAACAGGAAAAGTAACACCTAAGAGTGGATTTTATGGCCACAACACACAGACAACACACGTTTCAGAGCTGAACACAACTGTGTTAATCTGGATGAAAACTGGGATTTCACAAATCACTTTTCTTCCTCCTGACTTTGCAAGACTACACTCAACTACATAAATCCCATTCTTGGGGGTTGATTTTTTTTCTATTTAATAAAGATTTATGAAGTTTTATCAGATTTACAAATTCTGTTTGCCAAGATCTCGGCACTTCACTTTAGGACTATAATGCTACATGGTAACATCTTTCACTATTTAAAAAGGAGTGGAATTAAAGAACAGCTGCCAACAACTCAGCATTCAGAGATGCAATACAAAAGGACAAGATGCAAGAGTCAGAGATAACTACAAGAAGAGTTCCAATTGGAGATGAGGCAGGAAAAATCCAGAATGAGAGAAGTTTATCACTGGAACAGATTGCCTAGATCAGTTATAGAATCCAACTTCAATGTTATCCCTACTTTGAGCAGGGGACTGAACTGTAAATTACTTTCCCAGGAGCCTTCCAAATGAAATCATTCTCTGATTCAACATATGCCCTTTGTAAATCTGGGCTCATGCATCTATGTAAAAGTACTGACTGAGAAACACATGCAATTCCACAACCTCAGTTCGTTTTGCAGGATGACAGGGAACATTTGTGTCTGTGGTGCTGTTCTTAAATTACTATACAGGTGTCTTTTAAATCTGACAAAGAAAGAAAGATCCAAAGAAATGTGCCTTCACCATGAAAAACGAATTGGACAGATTTGCACTTCTGTTTTGAGCTGGACATCCAGACCTATCTAAACCTGGAAATTATTTTTTTTTTCACTTCTTACCTCTGACCAGAAGACACCATGTAACATTTTGCCTAAACCACCCCTGAAAATTTTCCCATGATAAGGAGCTTGTCAACAACTTCAAATGACACATCCTGCTGCATCAAGAGGGGTAACAAGGTAACAAAGGTGAGAAAAGTGGATTTCTATTCTGGAACAGAGAAGAAAGTCAGCTAATTTTTTCTCAATTAATATTTTAATTATCATGAACTTTGGCACGTGTTCAGGCATTCATTTATTGTTTGTCAGGTGTCTATTTACCATTTTTCATGGAATCTTTCCACACAAGGGAATACTCTGAGTTTTGACAAAAGCCTCAGTTCATATATATTATTTTTTTTACCTCAAAGCTTAACAGATGAAATCTCCCCAAGTTCTGCTGGCAGTAGGCATGCTTCCACCCCTTCCAAGTCTGCATATGGATAACTGAGAATATCTGAGGCTATTGAAAAAGGCCAGTTTTCTCTGCATTATTGATCCTGACCCAAATGAAACCAGGGAATGGGCCCAGGACAGAAAACCTTCATTTTCAGTAAGTTCCAGCTATAACATCTATCAAACACAGAGGCAGTGGAAGAAAAGGCAGTAAGAGGGGACCACAATTCACAGGGGCCAGCAGAAGTGAAAGAGCAGCAGAAGGTGGAACAGGTTAATGATGTTCAGGGAGGAAATCAGTGTGAGACATGAAGAAGGTGTGACACCAACTTGGGGTACATGGAAAATGTCAGAAAGTGAAGGGAAGGCAAAAAAGAAGACAGATCAGAAGGCAGATAAAGATCATGATAAAGATAAAGATAAAGATAAAGATCTTTGAATGAACTGAGAATGATTGCTTTATTATTGGAGCAGGCTGTCCTGAGCAACTTCACCTGAATTCAGTGTCCACACTGCTTTGAGCAAGAGATTTAACTAAATTCCAGTCATGGAATGATTCTCAACAAAGGGCAGTGACAGTCTCCTTTAAAAAGGATATATTAACTGTACAGCATCTTCAGGGAAAAACACTCTCACATATGTCACATTTCATCTTTTCAAGCTGTAGGTTTAAATTGCATTTTTAAAATTTTTACTTATGCTTATGTTGCTCAGCAATCATCTGCCTTGATCCATCAAAAAATGTGTTTAAGGAAGTTAACCACAGCCTAAAAGGAACTGAAAGCTGAATACTTTGGGGTTTTTTTTTCTCCAGTACTTGCTGGATACTAAGTAGTTAAAAAAGGCACTGTCTGAAAGCCTTATAGTTCTCTATGGAAACACAGTATCTGATGACATTTTTCTGGATGAAAAAAGAAACATTGGCTGATACCTTACAAAAAGAATGAAACTTTAGCTGCAGCAAAACTAATTAATTATTTATGTAATTCAGTGTGAACATAGGACTTGAAAATTATATTTCTGTATCAATTTGCACTCATGTAAAGAGCCTTAGAATACTTGTTCACAGATTAGGTAAGTTATCAAGCTGAAATCCTAGAAAGTATTACCATTATAAAGCCAGGGAAAAAAAACATACTTCAATTTTCCACATGAAATGTGTACAGATTCGCATCTATGAATTCAGGTTTTGTACATCACATTAATCCTTCAGTTAGTTTCCCACAGCTAAAGTATCAAGCAGGTATACTTTGTAGACAGAAAAAATTTAAAAGTTCTTTTTTACATAAAAAATACATCTCTGCCACATTCACCACCAGAATTACTTTGATTCAAAACATGTTGTAATAAATTCTGAGTTGTCTGGGAATTAATTGTACCATGAAAAGCATTTAAAAACTCTCAGAGGTTCCCAATGCTTTCTTCTTCTATCAGACAGCAGTAGGAAGGCAATGTTTTCTCAAAGTCATCCTTTAAATTCAAAGGTCCTACTTCTATAAACTTCATCATTATTTTTGGTTATTAAGAAAAACACCAATGAAATTCTGAATTTATGTTTGAAACTCATTATAATATAAGGCAGTTTTAGAAATACTAAAAGAACAAACATCTTTCTACAAAGCTACCAAGACTAATTGAATTCCTAGCTATGGAAGTGGCATAGAAAGTCATAATCATTACAGAAGTATTACCTTAACATCACTTTAATTCCATTTTGTTGTTATCATCACTAGAATCAGAAGTACTAGAACACAGAAACTTAGCATCTCTTCATCTTAAATATCAAATTAGCACCTCTTTCTCAAATAATATCTTCTTTGTTATGACATAATTTTTCATTCCAAAAAGTTGTTTCAAACTCTTCAGAAAACTACATCTTCAAATATCTACCACCAAAACAACAAAATGTCTGACATTTTAAAAAGATGAAATGTTTTTTATATGAAATTTAAAAGCATTTCATATTTTAGTATGCATCTAGCCCCAAAATTTATTTAATATGAAGTCAATGATTTTTGGATCTTTCACACTCTACATCATACCAGTCACTTAGCTGGTAATGTACAAAGCCACACAGTTATCTTAGTGATGTTTCAATTATTCATTTACAAATGCAATACTATCTCTTCTGTATACAAATAAAGTAACTAGGGGGTATGACCTGAAAAATGTCAATTACCTTTAGGATCCTAGCATGAAAAACACTTGAAATGTTATATGTAAGCTTTTTTTTATTTATAACTTGGGTTTTGGGGTTTTTTTGAAACTTGATCTAAGATACTTTAGCCCTTTAAATTCTTTTAAATATACAGGACTGT